GTGCTGTGTTCCTTCCTGTTCCCTTCCCCATGCCTTGTCCATGGTGTGTGAAGGTGGCTGGATCCCACGGAGGGGACACTGTCAGAGCCCCTGTTCATATGCATGCTCCATTCCAGAATGGGCTGGCGGTGACCATGACTCTCTGCCTTAGGGCCAGTGAGGGACAGGCTGGACCTGCCAGGATTCACCCTCAGCTCATGGCTGGGAGCTGAGGAATAGAGATGGCAGCCGGCTGTCCCCTCAGGTGGGACACCTGCCTCCCAGGGCTCCGCTGGGGGATCAGGCTTCAGCTGTCCTCAGTGGTGGCCTTCCTTCTTCTCCTGGCCCCTTCCCCATCCCCCTACAGGTGCACACTGACATCATCTCCCAGGGTCACCTAAGGCTTGCGTCCTTGCATCTGGGGAAACCCAACCGAGACCATCTTGGATCCTGAGCATTTGCAATTCCTAAGGAAAATCCTTCACAAAGTTCAGAGCCTAGTCCTCCTGGGGTTGTGCCCTCCACAAGCCCTGGGCAATACCAGTGGCCCTGAGTGGCATCTTCCCCATGACCAGCCCTCACTGAAGCGGAACAATAATGAAAACCCTAACAGCTGTTCCTTGGTGCTGGGCGTGCTCCACTATATCTCAGTTAATCTCTGCAACAACCTCTGATCCTGTGGTTCAGGCAGAGGCCCGGAGACCTAGCAAGATCTGATCACTCTACCAGGTCACCCAGCCAGTAGGGGGCAGAATTGGGATGTGACCCCCATCTCTTTGGACACCACATCCTCATTTCCCACGTACAGGGGGCTGCCCGACCCTAACGTGCTGGGGCTCCAAAGACCCCATGCCCACAGCAGGAGCGCGGCTTGCAGAAGCCCGTGCCCCACCTTCTGACACTACCAGCTCCCTGGCGGGCCAGCGGGGACAGGGTGTGACCTCAGCTGCCCAGGCTTTTTACTAGCAAGAGGTGAGGGGCAGACGAAGAACAGCCCAGAACCAGTGGCCAGTCCCTCTGAAGTCCTCTCAGCTCTTTGTTCTGGGGCTTCCCCCAAAATGAGAGAAATGTCAGCAGGCATCCGCTCAGAGGCAGGCGTGGGGAGTCCTCCTGGGTTTGAAAGAGGCCAGCCCCCCTGAGTAATTAGGCCAMGTTCGAGTGCATTAAAATGCTGTTGACGAGGAACCGCCGAGAGCTGGAAGCTGCTCCCGGCCACCTCGCTACCTAGCATCAGCAAGAGACTGAATCACACAAAGAGGCTGACGGTCTGAGGATGCGATCTGGCTATTTTTAGATATCCCAGAGGCACCCGCAGGCTGTTGGAAATTGGAAGAGCCAGAATTGGGTGATTCTCAGGGTAGAATGGGGGTCTTCATGAGGAAGAAGGGGCAGCATCTGCAACAGGCCTTGCACTTGGTGCTTTCTAGACTTTATCCCACTTGGACGTCAGAGCCGTTGTGAAAGGTGAGGAAATGACCTCATTTTACAGATGAAGCAACTGAGGCTCACCGTGGCTCAGTGGCTTGGCCAGAGTCAGGACAGCAAGTCTTGCATAAAAACAAGGTCTGCAGGCCCTGCTCCCAAAGCCAGAATGCCTTCCTGAATTTGTGTTAGGAGAGAAGAAAGAAATCAAGTCTCAAGCCAGGCACGGTGGCCCACGCCTGTCATCCCAGTGGCTAGGGAGGCTGAGGCAGGAGGATCACAAGTTCAAAGCAAGCCTCAGCAAAAGCGAGGCCCTAAGCAACTCAGTGAGACCCTGTCTCTAAATAAAATACCAAATAGGGCTGGGGATGGGGCTCAGGGGTCAAGTGCCCCTGAGTTCAAACCCTGGTATCCCCAAAACAAAACAAACAAAACCCCCAAGTCTCCCCCACTGTGATACAGAAGAAGGAATAGTTTCTCTTCTCCCCTTGGCTCTACACAGGGAATCTGTGAAGTCTTGTATGAGTTACRAAATTCAGGAGTCGCAGACAAATATTGAGGGGGGGGGGGTTGAGGACTGGAGATGAGATTTCCTGGGTCCCCTGAGCCCCCCTCATCAGAGTTGTTGACTGGAGGAGCTGTGAGCATGAAGGCCAAGCCTGCACTCAATTCTCGTGACCTTCAAAACCCACAAGTGGCCAACACTAACCACCCTGCACAAAATCCATCATGGAAGCCATGAGCACGAAGCAGAGATCTGAATTTTCCCAGCGAGGGTGCCAGCTTCATAAGGYCTCCATGGAGGTAGCTGAAAGGGTAAGAAGAAAGAAGGCTGAGGCCTGGAGACGCAGGATTGCGGGGCTCCGGTTACAGCCCCAAGGAAGGGCAGTCAGCACCATGGACAGCCGCCCGSGGGCCGGACAGCTTGCTGCGCAGCGTTCTTCCATCGCGACCCAAATCTGCAAGACTCTTTGAGGCCAGTGACTATTCTTGCAACATGCTATGAAATCATAATGTYCACGAATCCATCAGGTGTCCCTCTCCGGGAGGAGAGCCACTCTGGCAGACACAGTTAGCAGACRACTGTGAAAAATGGAGTCCAGCCTGGCGCCGGTGGCGCACCCCTGTCATCCCAGGGGCTSGGGAGGCTGAGGCAGGAGGATGGGGAGTTCAAAACCAGCCTCCGCAACTTAGTGAGGCGCTAAGCAACTCAGTGAGACCCTGTGTCTAAATAAAATACAAAATAGGGATGGGGATGTGGCTCAGTGGTTAAGTCACCTTTGGGTTCAATTCCTGGTATTAAGAAAAAAAAAAAAAGACTCCAATCAAGAAGGAAGTCCATTTCCTGCTTCTTTGGTAACCGGGCAAAGAGCCCGAGTGTCCAGGAGTCTGTGGGAAGGGAGAGCAGCAGGTGCCTGCAGATATTTGCTCTGCCAGCCTTTGGTGCTTTAGCTAACTAAAGCACCCTGTGGCCTCAAAAACATGATGCCGGGCTCCCTACCCCAGGCAGACACCCAGTCATCAAAGTGCTGGGGACATAAGAAGCCACTTTTGGATCTTCAGGGAAAACCATTAGGAAACAGTGTTAATACTTAGGAGTGACTCTACACACAGGAGCTGTCCCCTGCGCTACCTGTTTCCTGAAGCACCGGCTCATTTCTCCTTCTGATGTGATACAAGCTAGAGTTGTGTGACAGTGACTTGGAGGGCAATCTCTTTCTGATTTATTTATGTATAAAACAGATCCCCYGGGCATGGAAAGTCAGAGAAAAAAAACATCGGTGGTTTCATGTTGCCTAGAGTCGGGGAGCAAAGCAGAAGGAAGGCTCAGGGGTTGGGAGCAGAAGGAGTTCAACTGGGGCTAAAGAGTGACCCCCAACAAAGAGGAGATGGGATCCTGAATCCAATTCAAGGGTCAGGTTGTCCACAGCACTGTACTGAGTAAGCACCCAAACTGGGAGACTGGGTTCCGGCCCATGATCAGTCACTATGAGGAGACATGGCTTTGGGGAAAAAAAAATCACACCTGCCCATTATTTCCAGAAATGAAAAGACCTCTGGGTTTCTGCACACACCACTTCCTTGGCCTGGATCTCCTCTCCCTATCCACCGGGCATGACCTTATGCATTTTTTGAGGCCCCTCTACAAAGCCCTCTTCTCTTTGGAGCCCCTCCCCACAGGGCTGTTCAGCTGAGCCACTTCGGCTGTGTCTTGAGTTTCTCCAGGTATAAAATGAGACATCAAGGAGGTGTTACTGAGCCACCAAGGTGCCACTGAGCCACATCCCCTGCCCTATTTTGTACTTTATTTAGAGACAGGGTCTGAGTTGCTCAGGGCCTCACTAAGTTGCTGAGGCTGGCTTTGAACTCGAGATCCTCCTGACTCAGCCTCCCGAGCTGCTGGGATGACAGGCGTGCCCCACCGACCCCCAGCAAACAATGAGTTTATAAAATATGAAATTCACATAGAGGAGGACTTTTTATTGCAAACAGAGGTGTAACTCTCTGTGTGCATTCTAGGAGAGATTTGCTGAGATCAAGCCTCATTATTCAAAGTTGGTCCATGGGCCAGCAGCCTGGCATCACACAGGGCTCCTTAGAAATGCAGAATGTCCCCGGCTTGCTGACACAGAAGCTGAACAAGGTCTCCGGGGCCTCTCAGACATGTTCCAATTGGGGAAGCGCAGGCCACAGGGCTAGAGGGTTTCACTGTGGAGCTCTGTCTTGTCTCTGGTTCAACTGCCMGAGAGGGTAATCCCAGCCCCCCACTCCTCGTCAAGCCCAGCAGATCTTTTAATAGGTCTGAAGGTCATCTGGCACTAGACTGTGTGACCTTTGGCAAGTTCACTGTAATTTTTTCTGTTCCCTCGCTGTCGATGGGGATAATTAACAATGGCAGTGACCCKAAAAGCCTGTAGGGAAGGTAAGTAAAACCAGGCCTGCCCGAGGCTTAGCAGAGACCTGGCAGATGTTTGACAGATCGTTACTAACTCTCATTAAACAGCCCTGTCCCTCAGGAAGGGGGCCACGTGGGACAATGTCCCGAAAGCAGGAACTGGCTCGCTCTGCCAAGGTGCGGGAGGCGGGCTGGGCTGCACAGCAGTAGCCTCTGGGTAATGGGGAGCCATGGGAGGCCCGGGGCAGACAGAGGGCATGGGACCTGCAGAGCTCTGCAGGCAGGGCGGGCCCAGGGGTGTGGCCAAGGGAGGAGCCTCAGATGGGG